TTTATTTATTTATTTGAGAGAGAGAGAGAGAATGAGAGATAGAAAGCACGAGAGGGAAGAGGGTCAGAGGGAGAAGCAGACTCCCTGCTGAGCAGGAAGCCCGATGCGGGACTCGATCCCGGGACTCCAGGATCATGACCTGAGCCGAAGGCAGTCGCCCAACCAACTGAGCCACCCAGGCGCCCCTCAATTTCTTTTTCAAATAAGCTTAAGTATTGCTAATCAGAATTGTGCTACTTTTGATAAAAATAATTTTCTCTTACTCTGGTCCCACATTGTGTAGAAACAGAATTTTAAAAATGACAAGGACAATAAAAGGTATTTTAATACTCTAAAATTTTTCAACAAGAATGTTAAGGAGTTAAAGGGAAACATTAGTAATTTGCTGAACCTAAGAAGCAAAGATAAAAAAAAAAAAAAAAAACCCTTAACAAATAACAATAAAGACAGTTTCCTCTGCAAGAAGGTCATGTCTTTGAAACATCAGCATTTCCTGAAATGATGTTATATATGCTCTAACTTTGCACTAATGGTCATTAAGAGGAATTCTAGGTCAGGAAAAAAAAAATGCAAGATTGATATTCCCTAGTGACTTGTACTGACTGGCAAAGTAAATAGTATTTTATGACCAAACACTTATTTGTCCTTCGAAGTTAAGTAATCGAAGAGATAAAACTGTTGAATATCTAAGTGGGGGAATAATTGAGTATTTTACATAACCAAGCACCCTCCCGTAGAATTTGTTACGTATTCCGACATCCTAGCTGCTGAAAATGGAATTATGTTTTGTATTCAGTCACTCAGAACTTTTTCAATGATTAATTTCTTTTTTGCTATAAAACAGCCATACAGTTTTTTTCACATCTCATTGTGATATTTTCCATTCAAAAAGGCAACACAACAAAATTAGGTGTCCTCTAGACGACACAAGATATTCAAATAGAAGTCAAAATATTAGTGAGACTGACAATTTTTTGTGAGCCAGATAAATTCCCTCCCGGACTGGGCATTACTGGAGTTTGGCAGTTGACCCGTGTTTCCTCTAATCCTGTTCATTGTCTGCTCTGTTCCCTGAAAGCTCCTCCAGCCTTTGTCCATGATCCCTTATTATTTCTGGTCTCAGGCAGAACAATTACCACTGCTGGAAAAACAACCCAAATCTCTCTGGGCCATGTTTTTAATCCAAGGTATATTGTTAAATAGATGTCAACTGTGCGACCTTTCACTGGACAAGAATAGAGCTAGCTACCTCTCTAGCTTAAAAAAATACATATCAAAATGACAATATGATCAACTACTTCTCATGGCTACCAATTAAAATCTGCACGAAAGATATCAAGTTGTTAAGATAACATTCAAACTAGGCAGAATAAAGCAAACATGGGCCTACTTACAGTCATCACAAAACAAACTCAGTTTCTTAGAGATATTATAGGCTACTTGTTCATGTGACATTTCGCTGAGTTTACCTAAAATTCCTTGAGTGCCCTCAAAGAATCTGCCTTCTGGTTAAGTGTTATATTGGAAATTTGGGAGAAAACAGGAGCACAACCTCTTGCACTATATATGTTTGTAGAAAGTTGGGTAAAGTTTTGGCAATTGGCAATGGATTTCCCCAGTGTTCCTAAGAATTGGTCAAATTCTACCGAAGTTCAGACTTAAGAATATTTTCCCCTTTTTTTTCTTTTCAACTTATTTTTTTTTTGCCTGGGGCATTTGTTTTATAACCAAAGCTGTATATGCAACCCTGTTTTTAGAGCATTTTTTGAGTCACTTTTGGTGACATCTAGTTCCAGACTCAACCTCAGTGCACAGAAATTGAAAAGCAACTGGGAGGATTCATGCTCTGTTAGGCTCTTAAAAGTAAAGAGTTTGCTTTTTTACTTCCTCTTTTTTTTCCTGTACAGCGTAATCAGCAATAAAACTCATCTCTTGAGGGATGAAGAATAAATAAATAACCCAAGGTGTAAAATGCAAATGACACGTTTAGCATTTAGGTATATTATTACCCCCCAAATGAAAACCTGTGCAAGCTTCCTAAAAATATAAATGAGTGATAAGGACCATATATAATGCATGCAATTTTTTCTTACTATTCCTGGATTTTGGTCAACTTTCTGAAATAGTCATAAAATATAAGTCATGGATTCAAAATGTTGCCCTATACATTCATAAACAATCTTTAGCCAAGGTAGGAATGCTGCTTCATTGGGAAAATGAAGGAAGAAGGACTTTGGGGCTAATCTTCCAATGGTGGTTAAATGTCTCCCAGCTAATCCCACATGGTATGATTTGCCATCCCGCATCTGTGCTTCCCCCATTCCGGGGCATACCTGCCTCTGGTGATCCTCTTGTTTCCAACGACCGTGCTCAATATCAGAGGGCCAGGACCAGATCCATCCTGTCCGTGCATTTGGCTGCAGCCCCAGCACCTAGCACAGTGTCAGGCACAGAGCAGGTGCTAAACGTGCCTGGCCCTGTATAGAATAGAGGCAAATTAATATGCTACCCTTACCAAGTCCAGTTCTGCAGGGTAAAACCTAGCATGGGGATGAGATAGACCAGAGCACAGGAGGCGGGGGGGAATATTAACAAGCCTGGTCCGTTTGGGGGGCGTGTGTGATACATTTGGTACCTTGCCTAAAAATTTCCCCAAGTAGCATTTCACGTAATGAAAACAAATGAGGTGATTTGATTTCCAAATCTTCATTATGTTTTGAAAGGCAAACTTTTAACAAATAGCTACATACCTTAATATATCTTTCAATAACTACAAAAGAGGACGTAACCTTTCAAGCAAAGTAAAAATTGTACCTGGTAATGAAATTTTTGGCATGATAATCCATTAAATTGAGTATCAAATACATTAATCAATATGGCTATAAAAGCGGTCACTTTTCACGTGTTTATGAATGTTAGGCTCATGGGGGTACTGAGGGATTTTTTTTTAATTTTTCATTCAATCCATTTCTCCTGTATATATAAAATAAATTTATGTTTATAAACATAAATAATTATGTAAATAATTAACAAAATCATTAACAAAACCAAGTGAGATTTCAGCTATTTGTGTTTTAGATACTTCAAATTATTGTACATCTCGTATCAAGTCAAACAATCTTGAAAAATCCCAGAACTCCCAGGAGAGACAAAAAGCAGAATGCCTCCAGTTAGATGCAGTGCAATCATCTCCTTTTTGCTGTTGTTCCTTAATTTGTAGCTTTCTTAATTAACTCTCAAATGCCCTCACCAAGATATTTCATTAACTGCTACACCCTGTTTTCTAATCTCAGGTATTTTCTAAGAAATCTTGGCAGAGTATATATTTTCCTTTTAATCCCTAAAGTATCTGCAGCAATGGCAAACCAGTCCCCTATATAAGGGTCAACAAAAACCGTAGGTGTCTTGTTAATACGACTCACCTAGCCATGGATTTGCCCTCCTCAGTTACTTAGCTGAGTTACTAGGACACAAGAATAGAATGCTATACCCAGAATTGATATGACCTGTCTGATAGACGTTTTATAGCACCATTATTAGTTCTGCTCCTGCTAATTATAGTTAGGGTTTTGTTTCCCCTTTTTATTTAAAAATTTGCCATATATTTAGAAATCACTATTTCTCCCTTTTCCTATCCCCCCCCTTTCCCCATCCTCCCCCCCTTTCCCCATGTAATGAAACTCTTAGGAGGTGGAGCACAGGGTGATCTTAGAGGAAAAAAAAAAAAAGGCATTTGCTCACTTTGCGATGAATCAGCCTTGGATCCCCACTTACTGAGAAGTGTGGTGGCCATGCCATCAGGAGCAGCTGCAAGGGCATTGAAAATGAATCTTATCTCTGGGTGTACTTTTTGACTTAGAGGCGGTTCTTCTTTACTGTTTCATCATCACAGCTGTAATGGTTACAAACTCACAGGCAGTTTGCTTTACCATGGGATGGCAACAGAGCTTCTCTAAGCACATATCCAGGAGCATTTGTAAGAGCAGTTATGGATGACCCTCAACAGCAGCTCCCCAATGAATAAAATGAAAGGATCTCTCTTGTCCAGATAGCCACTATCTGATAACGGTCTCATCTGCATTTTCATTCTCTTTCAAGATGTTTGGCTCTGTTCTGGAGCTGAAAGTCACATTTACTCCTGGGTGACAAGGTCAGGTTTTCTGTGGGTACTCTCAATCACTGCCTTTGTGTGTTCTTTACATGCTCCATTCAGTTTTAAGGTATGTATGCATTGCGCCTCTGTCACCCACACAGCGCCAGGCTCATGCGAGGACAAGAAGAGTGGAGTGTGAGGAATAAGTCTCTCTGCCTTCTGAGCGTTAGCAGCACTTCTCAGTCTTAAGAGAATGCCTTAGCCTTTCTCTTCTTTGCAAGCAGGTCCTGCACCTGCAAATACTTGTGTGTGCCAGGGGCAGGGAGAGCTTCTGAGTGTGATAAACTGCTGGGAACTGTAGCCTGGCTCATCCTGTACAAATTGTGACAGACAGTGGCAGTTGGGTCTGCGGGCATGGCCCAGGACCTTCTCCTTCCTGTCAGCTCTCATGTTCCAGCAGAGCACCTCTGCTGTCCTCAGTATGCTTTAATTGAAGTAAACCGAATTGCATTTTCCTTTATTTTGTTCCATTTCTGTCTAGAAATTTTGAGGTGACTGACTAGCAAAGCTAATTAAAAACACGTGGCCTAGGGTGTGAATGGATAAGAATAGCACTTACTGGGGTGCCTGGGTGGCTCAGTTGGCTAAGCCTTCCACTTAGGTCATGATCCCAGGGTCCTGGGATCGAGCCCCATGTCGGGCCCCCAGCTCAGCGGGGAGTCTGCTTCTCCCTCTTGCTCTGTGTGCGTTCTCTCTCTCTCTCTCTCTCTCTCTCTCTCTCTCTCTCTCTCTCTCTCACTATTTCTCAGATAAATAAAATCTTAAAAAAAATAGCACTTATTGTACTAAGCATCTGAGCCACGTACTAGTCATTGCTTTTGTAAGGGGACCTCCACTCTTAGCCCCAGGAGCTGAGTGACAATGGTCTCTGAGAAGCCAAAGTGGAAGGAGGGGGAGCAAGGGCCTGGAGGCAATTGCCAGGTGAGATCAGTTCTGTTTGCAAGATGAGGAACCACAGGTACCCTGAATGAGACTTCCAGGAGGCTCAGTATAGGTAATGTGTAAGAACATTGAGTGGGGTTCTTAAGGTATCCGTTGTAGCAGTTGCCAAACTGGATCAGTCATTATTGGATGACCTGAAAAAAATGTGATTTTCCCCGGGGAAATGGGAAGTGACAGAGGGAACAGAGATCCATTTATTTGCTAAGAAGCACCCAGAAAAGTTGAGATAAAGCATCAGCCTCTGACCTACCCTTGGACGTTCCACACATCTAATTTTAGGTGTAGCATACTTGTCACTATAGAAACCCTAAAAATAGTTATTGATCATTGTGAGGGCCATAATTTCTGGCCTCAGAGTCTGCTTTCACATTCTATTTCTTATATTCTTTTACTCAAGCGTTTATTGAATGCAGCTGTGCACAGTGCCAGGCACTGTTAAGGACATAAAGACAATTAGATCTGGCTACTACCCTGGATACCATATTCTTGGATATATGATCTTTTTTCAGCTTTCTTAATAATTTTAAAAATACACTTGTATTTTGTCTCCATGTCCTATTTCCACTGTAGCCTGAAGGACAATGATGGTTTTTTTATAGTTTACTTTTTGTGGCAATGGTTTTCTTCTTTAGAATAAACTGTAAATGTCCAAAGATAGTATAATGGAACATGCTGGAAGAATCCCCCAAATTGTTTTTTTTTTTTTAAGTAAAATCAAATTTGCCTGTATCTTTTAGAAGAAAAGCAATCTGGGTTCAGCCAAATAGTATAGGTGAAAATATGAATAGGGTAACAGGAAGGAACTCAGGATTCAGTGGTTCCCTCTTGGACTCTGGTTACAGGAGCTTACTATATGTGTCTATAAATAGAAATCCATTCCATGGAAATGTGAAATGGATACCAAGATTTATATGAGAGAAAAAGAGTGAAATTCATTATACCTTTACTTGTAATAGGAAAAATAATTTGGGAATGGTTGCGAGAAAGATAACTTTCAAAGGTTGAAATATGTAGATAATAAAAGCAACGTTTATCAAGAATTTTTAATAATACAGGGTATTACAGAAAAATGTTAAGCAAAAACAATAGAGCAAGTATACATATGTAGATTTTTTTCATAATCTCATTTTTGATCAAAAGAGCAAACCGATAGGAGCGATTATCTCTAAGTAGTAGGTTATTAGTTATTGTTGCAGAACAACCACCCAGAGACACTGCAGTGGCAAATAATGATAAGCATTTATTTCTTGCCCAAGTGTCTGAGTTTTGACTAGACTCTGGCTAAATTTGGCTGGGCTCCAGATCACAGTGGGATCACGTGTATTCTCAACATCTGTCATTCTCTTGGAACCAACGGCTACCCAAGGCGGATTCTTTTTATGGTGATAGCAAACGTGCAAGAGAACAGGACCAACTGTGCAAGCCCATTTCATGTATCTCCTTATGTCACATTCACTGACATCCCAAGAATCAGAACAGATGACATGGCCACACGCAGAGTCAAGTAGACCCAGCCACAGTCTACTCCCCCCACCATGGTAAGGCCATGATAAAGGTGTGGATGTGTGCAACTGCTAGAGGGCAGTGAAAAATTGGAACCAATGGCTCATCTACTGCAGTGGGATTTCCATGTCCCTTAATTTTCTTCTTATGCTCCTATATATACAAATATCTTATTCTGTATAAATGCAGGAAAAAATAAAGTATTAGAGATACACAGATTAATGGGGTAGAACTGAGAATCCAGAAATAAACTCTCACATTTATGATTGATGGATTCTTGACAAGGATGCCAAGATAATTCAATGGAGAAAGGAACAGCTTTTTTTTTTTTTTTAACAAATGGCATATAAATATGCAAAAAAAAAATGGTGTTCAACCCCTACCTCACACCACATACAAAAATTAACTCCAAGGAAATCAAAACTTAAAAGTGAGAACTAAAACTCTAAAACTCTTAGAAGAAAACATAGGCATAAATCTTAGTGACCTCACATTAGGCAGTGGTTCCTTGAACATGATCCAAAAGCAATGAAAGAAAAGGTAGATATATTGGACTTCAGTAGAATTAAAAGCTTTTGTGCTGCAAAGGACACCAGAAAGAAAGTGAAGACAACCCACTGAATGGAAGAAAATATTTACAAATTACATATCTGGTAAGGGACTTGTAACCAGGAAAAAAATGAGGAAATCTGACAACTCACCAATGAAAAGATAAATACCCCCATGAAAAATGGACAAAAGATTTGAATGGACATGTCTCCAAAGTAGACGCCCCAATAAGCAGCAAGTACATGAAAAGCTGTTCAACATCATCCATTGGAAAAATGCAAATCA